AGGCTTTTAGATGCACTCAGTACAACAAGATGATAGGTTCACTCCTCAATTATTCTCTGGCTCTTGGCCACATAAACATATTCATTGGTTTGTTCTACCAGTTAAGGTTCTCCTATCTTCAGCCTCCTAATCAGGTGTAAAGGGACAAAAAAGTTTCTATTCCTTTTCATGTGAGATCACATATCCAGAAGATGTGACCTCTCTGTTTAGTTTGTGCATAAATTATTATTTCAGCAATTCAGACAGAAAATCATGATTACAGGCTCCTGAAAGGCAAAAAGGCATTAATAAGATGCTAGGGATCAGATACATATACAAGTAGTTCTCAAGTTATGACCATTTGTTCAGCAACCATTCAAAGTTATGGCAGCGCTGAACAAATGGTAGTTACGCCCAGTCCCCAAAGTTACAGCTATGGCAGCGCCCCTGCAGTCACGTCATCAAAATTCAGGCATTTGGTAGCCCACCCACACTTACGACCACAGGAGCACTTCAACTCCCCCCATCCATCTATCTCCTCCCCATCTCTGCCTTTTTGGCCACTCTGCACACCACTGGTCCTGCCAGCCTGTCAGCCATATTGGCCAGCTGGTCCACCACGCCTACCACCCTGTGCTTGCTGGCCCTGCTACCCCTGCTGGCCTTGCTGCCCACAGCTGACCTTCGCTGTCTTCTTCCTGCCACTGTTGACAAAGCATGCCCAGCCTGGCCCTTTGCAAGGCAGCTGCCAGCCATACCAGGCCTTCTTCCTGAAGCTGCACCTGCCCCTTGTCCAAATCCCACACTGTCTTGTCCAAATTGTGTGCGGCCTTCTCACTAGGTTTTGGAAGGCAGGCACATGAAAGAAGGCCCTGGCTGCGTCAGTGCAAAAGAAGGACCTTCTAGGCACTGGGACTGACATCGGGTTTACGACCGCACTGCTTAGCAATGGAAATTCCAGTCCCAATTGCTGTCATAACTCGAGGACAACCTGTACTTGTATGCTCATGGCTAGACAACTGCAGAATCTCTGCTTCAGATTAATCAAAAGCATGAAAAGCATGAAATGTAGAATTCTTGCTACCCTGAGCTCATCTTCGTAACATATGAGGGCACCAGGGTGGGGAAGGTGTTTTATTTCTGATTTTACAACATTATGTACAGTGTCAATTGAAATAAAAAGTTGTTTTTCAAAAAGTTTCTGCTTTTTACCTGTTATGATAAACAACAGCTGTATAAGCTTCTTTTGAAAATTCAGCACAGCTAGATTTTCCAAAGATTACCTACAAAAATAAATGATCAAACACATTTTTAAAAAACATTCTTTGTTCTTCAGAACTGGCAATTTTGGCAATTTTACTAAGTCAGAAATAAACACCAAGATACCTATTTATGTGGCATATATTTATAATCTTGACAAATATTATGATTTAGCTTAAATACTGACTTTTTTTTTTAAAGAAAAATATTTGGCTGCAAAGATAGTTACTAATATTTCACAAGAAAGCAGATGTTATGAATCTGCTGCACATTACGTGGTGTGAGCTACATGTAGAAATGTGTAATTATTATTTTATCTCCAAGGGACTCAAGGTGGCTTACAAAGCTTCACATACATAAATAGAAAAAATCAAAATCAGACAAAACTTAGATCACAAACATCCCAGCAAGTTAACCCAGTTGAGTTACAAGCAGGAAAGTGCAGAAATGCCACCAAGCAGACCTTAAAACAACATGAAGGATTAAAAACTGTATAAAATAAGAAGAAGCAAAGTATCAAATAACTAAAAACTCTGAGAAATCTGCACAGTGATCCAGTCTGATTCTGTCCCAGCAGGAATGCCACCTAATATGGCACAGGATTTTGACTTGCATCTAATATACAAAGCATAGCACAGTCATTTTACAGCATCAAAATCAAAATGGAACACACATACATACAACATACCGGCATTGCATTACTTGGATCCTCTCCAAACATAAACTGCACTTTTACAGTAATATTCCGAGCAGATCCTTGGCGATTGGCAAAGTTAAGGCTTTGTGGATAAACATATAGAAGATTTCTATGAAAGAAGGAAAAAAGTAGAAAAATTACATACTGACTAGGGCACATACCACTAGGTCAATCTTAAAACGTCCTTGAAAATACTATAAATGTATTTAGTTTCAAGGTTTGTTACATAAACCTATTCTGTAAACCCACACTATGCTTAGGATAGAGTTAAATAGGGTGTCTGACTGCAATCCTGAATTTTATTCAGTCCCATTTAACAAAGCATTTATTTCCAAGAAAAGGGGATCAGGATTGCACCGTGGCTACTAAGCTGATTAAACAACAGAGGGATCTTTGACCTTAAGGGTGAGTAGGTACAGATTTAACATTTTGAAATATGTCATGGATACTCAAAGAGGGATTTTGCTCATTCACTAATCTGTTGCCACAATGGGTATAGCTAGTCACAAAAGATTTATCAGAAGGCAAACAACTGAAACTGCTCTCTACCATCCATATAGGGGCATCCACAAGTGGGGTCAAAAAAGTCAAGATGATGGCTGTGTCCACATGAAGTCAATTTTTTTATTTATTTATTTATTTATTTATTTATTTATTTATTTATTTATATTTATATTTATATTTCAAATTTAGTCACTGCCCATCTCATTCACATCATGGAAGCTTATAAATTGCAGTCATTGCTGGCATCTTGATTTTTTTACCTCCCTGTGGATGCTACTGAACCCACACTTACTCTCAAGTCTCACCTTACCTCTTTTTCCCTTTTCTTTTTTTTTTTCTGGGCAAAAGATTTACAAATAAAGCACTGAAATGCAGCTACTCACTACTTCTATTTTCTAAGAATGCATATGGGTCTATGCAGAACCCAATGATATTCTTGAAAATAAAGATGTTTCTGGTTTTGCAGAGTACCAATTCCCTTACATTTTATTTAATATTAAAATAAGCTTTAAACATTTTAAAACAGAACAGGCCAGGGACCTGGAAGCTGCCAAAGGAAGTATTGTAGGCACCATGGTGCCATGGATCCCATGTTAGGTATCCTTAATGTTAATATAAATGTCCTCTTTTTTGCTTACTCTTTTACAAATAAACATGTATATGGAAACAACGGTGGATAACTCTCACTGCCCATCTTCCTCTTTTTCCATATTCTACTTCTATTTATTAACACATTTTATATCTTGCATTTTCTTTTTTTGCCATGTGTGTAATGCATATTATCAGTCACCTGTCGATATACACTATAATGCAAGACAGACCACTTATAATCCATAAATCTCATCAGTCTATTTCATTCTCAGATATGAATGGAATGCCTTGAAGTTTGAACTGGTAAAATCTTGGTTGAATGAAGCTAACAGTCTTTCTTCCATGGTTTACATTTTAAAGAGTGCCATACCCGTGCAAGCCATAAACTGATAAACATGGATACTCTTGCAATTCAGAATGGTCTTCCTCCAAGCTCTCCTACATTTATCTATATTGCTAGTGGTTTTTTGTATTTTTGAAACCAGCTCTTGGTTTCCAAACCATGGATCAAACAATAGGAAATGGCAACTACCTAAACCAGAGATAGTAAAAAGCTACATGGACAAATAAAAGTTAGCTAACACATAAGCCTGTAATTAGTTAGCTGACTAGGGTCCCATGAAATAAATGGGGTAAATTAGGGACAACTTAACTCCTATTGATTTCAATATAAACTAAGCACAGCTAACTTTGATTTACTCCTTGGTTCTATTTCCAGATATCTGCTGAAAGGGGAGGGGGGAAGGGTAAAAATTGACCACCCATGGTAAAAGCTGGCAGTGATAGAATTACATTGATTTTAGTGAAGCTGTGATTCCCTTAAATTAACATTTAAATCTATGCCCGCCTAGGATGGCATAGCCCTCTCCTTATTTCTTGAAAGTGTCATAAACATCTATTTATTGTAATAATAATTTCCCCATAATTGTTAAGGTTTTGATTCATGACTTTTCTATGAATTATTTTATTCTATAATATGTGTACAATCAACCAACCATACATATAATGGCTACTTCATGTTACTTAATCCATAATGTCAAAATAGAGTAAATTTGCTCTTTTGAAGTCTAGGTTAGTTCAGTAATCTTTACATTCAATATCCATATATTTGCTTAAAAAGCTGAACAAACAGAATGTTACTTTGGTACTGAGAGTACTGTGGTTTCTGGGAGGGAGTGGAATGGAAAACATTGAAAAGCTCCTAGAATTTCAAATCAGCTGGGAAAGTATATGCTAAAAAGCACCTCCTTATGAAGAGCTTCCTTCTTTAAAAAAAAAAAAGTTGCCCATCTTCTTTTTTGAAGTACACATTTCTCATATAACATTTATAAAAGCCAGATCTCATTTTTTTTCAAAAGCATGTTACATGACAACATAGTGCTAGATATGGTTTTATTAACCATCATTTGCTGAATAATAGTTAGCAGAGTTCACACCAAATGCTGAGCCAAACAATATCTATGAACCAAGTATATATTCTGGAAATATAGATATTGTTATCCAACTTTTTCATTATCTTTCCTGATTGGATCTGTTCCTATTATCTCTTCTCCCTGATTTCATACAGGATATAAACTACCTGAATACATTCTAGAAAAAGACCTCTGTTGCATATCTTAAAGAGCAGACATGACAATATGAGTGGAAGTGGCCAAGTTCTATATCAGTTGTTCCAAACTGCTCAAAGGTTTCAAAGTTAAAATGGCACAGCTGGCATAATATGTGCTACATAAACTGATAGCAGCACTCCAGTGACCAAGTTCTGTATCAGCTGAAGGTTCGAAGTCATCTTTAAAGGTAAGCCTTATTTACACTTAGAACAACATTTGCTATCAGGAAATGTTCATCAGATGGGCTCAAAGAGCCTAAAGAGGACACAGGTTACATTCATTCAAGTTTAATTATCAACTACCCCAACTTGATTTTTTAAGACTGAATGTGCCATACATATTTATAGGCACAGCAGAACTCTCCCAGAGAAAGACAATTAGCACAGGGAGACATTTCTTTTTTCAAAGTGACTTATACAGAATAAGCAGAAAGAATATGAAAATTATTCTGGTATTACTTTTCATGATTTCTCTAGTAATTTCAGCTAGACTAGATGATTATATTTACTTGGAATCTGCAACTCCTGAGCCTAAACCAAGATTTGCTATGTCTGATGATGTGCATTTGCTAGCCACTGGACTACTCCAGCTTGGGCGTGGCCTTCAAGACTTTGTGATCAAAACCAAGAGCCAAATGGATGACATCTTTCAAAGGCTTAACATTTTTGATGAATCCTTTTCTGAGATCTCACAACAAACTAGTGAAATGAAAGAAGAAGAAGAACAATTAAAAAAAGCCACTACTAGACTGCAAGCAACTAATGAAGAGATGAGAAATCTATCTTTGCGGCTTAATTCCAAAATAGAAGTCCTTTCCATGGAGAAGATTCAACTTAAGAACAAAGTAGGGAAGCTTGAAGAAAAAATAACTAAATTGGTTCAGACCCAGCTTGAAATTCATGAGTCAGAAGAAATTGCATCACTTAAAGTAAGTAGAAATAAACATACTGAGTGTTGCCAAAGTAAATTGTATTCTGAACAGTGATGTAATTCAAAACTATATAGTCATTCCTGTGGCTACTGTGCTAATGTGCTTCATTTTGAGGAATGTAATTAGCATTTTTCTTAATGATGTTTTTATTGTGCTTTGTATGCTACCCATAGCCATTAAGGGAATGTGTAGCATATAAAAGATCTTGAAAGTAATATCTGGTTCTTAGTAAATTTGCTTTGGCAGCTTTCCTTACAGACTTATGTAAAATAGAAGTTGCTACTTCTGTTCTGCCAGTTCAGCTCAACTGTGATTATTTAGATTAAAAGAAGTAATTAACAAGTGATAGTTTTATGCCAAAACGGAAATGAGTAGCAAAGCTTGGAAATTGCCTTCACCTTCAACCTGTAATGCCAATAGCCATATACTTTTACAACACTTCATTTGTATAGTTCATAAGGAAGAAATCTGCATTCCTTCATCTTTACAAACCTATAGCTTTATTGCCAGGCATAAAAAATGCACCTTAAATTTGTTAATATGCTTTTATTTACTGAAGGTGGTTAATAAAATTTCAAAGATCATTTTAAAAATAAGAACATAACACTTGCTTTCTCTTGTACCTAAACAATAAGAGCATAAACATCAAGCATACATTTCTGAGATGTGGCATCATTATGGTACATACACTGACATTTTAGGCATCAGCTAACTGAAACGAACAGTTTCAGTCAGCAGATCATACTGTTTACTGCTCAGAAATGTGAAATAGCTGCCCAATCAATGGGATTTGGATGGCCATAAACTGCATATATAAATAAAAACAAAGAAGGAATGGTGCTGCTTTCATAGTCAGGAAAGATATACCAAAGACAGTACTTGGGTACAATGTAGTCAACAACTGAATAACATCAATTGGACTTTGTGGACAACGTTTTAATATGATTGTTGTCCAATTTATACTCAACCACTGATGCAGAAGGAGAGGAGGTTGATAAGTGTTATAGTCACATTCAGCCTGAAATCAATAGAATATGCAAGCAAGGAGCTGGAGAGTGGAGTGCCAAAGTTAGAAATACTAAGGAGAAAAATGTAGTTGGACTGAATGACCTAGGAAAGAGAAATGAAGCATTTCATCATTTTCTGCCAATCCAATGAGTTCTTTATTGTTATCACAGTCTTCAAACAATGAAAATGATGCCTATATAGATGGACATAACCTACAGAAGCACACAGAAATCAAATTGATTATATTGTTAGTACAAGAAGATGGAACAGCTCAGTTTTAACAACAAAGACATGGCTAGGGCTGATTGTGGAACAGATCACAAACTGCTCATGTGAAAGTCAAGTTAAAATGGAAGAACTAAGCCAACTAGTTTCCATGATACAATACTGAGCATATATCCACCATTTTCAAGGAGAACATGAGGAACCGCCTTGAAATCCTGAACCTCATTGATAGGTAACCAGAAGAATGAGGAATCAATTCAAAGAAGTTGTTAAGGATGAATATGAAAAGAGACTGCCAAAGACTGAAACAGAAGAAAGCAAACTGGATGTCGGAAGAAATGGTGGAAATTGGCAAGAAAAGAGAAAGAAGAGTCAAGAAAGAAAAAATTTCAGGAAAGAATTTTCCGAGAATTATTAGAAGAAAAGAAGCAGTATTATGATGACAACTTTAGACACAGAAGATGGACACAGATAAACAAGGAAAAGTCTTCCAAAAGATTTCCAAACTCAGGAGGTTCCAGCCTCAAATTGGTATGCTAAGATTAGAAAGAGGTCAATCAAAAGGAGCTTTAACAGAGTGTGCAAACTATCGCACAATATATTTCATACACTAGCAAAATAATGTTTAGGATTATCCAATGCAGATTACAGCCCTACATGGAAAGGACAATGTTCAGGCTGGTTTTAGAAACAGCTGAGGAATAGAGATGTTATTGCTGATGCATACTGGATAATTGAGAAAGCCAAACTGTACCAAAATAAAATCAATATATGCTTCACTGATTACAGAAAAGCCTTTGACATCTCAAGTTGTCAAATGTTCTTAAGACAATAGGAATCCCAGAACATCTCACTTGTCCTCCTATGAAACCTATATACAGACCAGGGCTGGTTTTAGAAACAGCTGAGGAATAGAGATGTTATTGCTGATGCATACTGGATAATTGAGAAAGCCAAACTGTACCAAAATAAAATCAATATATGCTTCACTGATTACAGAAAAGCCTTTGACATCTCAAGTTGTCAAATGTTCTTAAGACAATAGGAATCCCAGAACATCTCACTTGTCCTCCTATGAAACCTATATACAGACCAGGAAGTCAAAGTATGGACAGAACATAGTGAAACAGGCTAATCCAGGTCAGCAGAGGACTAAGACAAGGCTATTTTCTCTCTCCTCATGTATTTAACCTATATGCTATATTGAGGAATTGGAAGACTGGAAGAGGTTGAGCATGTTTTTAAAACTGGAGGAAGAAACATCAATAACCTGTGCTCTGCTAATGACACTACTCTGGTAGCTGAAAATGCAAGAGATCTACCAGCTCTAGTAATGAAAGTTAAGCAACACAAGGAAAAAATAAGACCATGGTTAAGTATAAAGAAGACAAAACTAATGACAACAGCTACAGCAATCAGCCTTAGAACCGTCAATGAAGAAATTGAAGTGGTGGATAGCTTCTGCCTTTTAGGATCAACTACGAACCAGCAGTCAAGAAATATGCCATAGACTAGCACTTGGCAGAGTAGCACTGAAGGCCTTGGAAAGATATTCATATCTATATTTACAAATATCAGAATCATGCAAGCAATAGTTTTCCCTATGACTCTATGGAAGCAAAACGTGGACTTTGAAGTAGGCTAGAAAGAGTACTGATGCTTTTGGATTTTGGTATTAGAGAAGACTCCTAAGAATACCATAGTTAGCCAAGAAAACAAACAAATGGATCATAGAACAAATCAATCCAGAGTTCTCAGTTGAGGCACAAATGACCAAGCTCAAAGTATCATGTTTTGGAACATTATGTGAAGACTTGACTCTCTTGAGAAGACTATAATGCTAGGGAAGGAAAGAGAACAGGATGACCAGCAGTAAGATGGATAGATTTGATTACAGTGGCAATGGGTACACCATGGGAAGACCTGAAGGGCCAGACGGGGACTGATCATTCTGGAGGAAGTCGGACTAAGTGGTCACTAACTGTCAACAGCAAATTGATGGCACATAATCAATCAGATGTACAGTATCCTCATTTATCATCCACAAACTTCAGAAGACTGTTTTCTAGAGGAAGGTTTGCTATGCTGGCCTAAGCCAATTTCTTAAACTTGATGCCTTCCATATATGTTGCACTATGATTCCTTTCAAAATGCGCTGGCATGACTCAACGACATGCTGGCCAAGAAATGATAGAAGTTTTAATTCAATGTGTCTGGAATATGCCATATAGGGAAAACCATTTTATTTTATATATATTCTGAATATAATTTTAATTAAGAATTTTGGTTACAATAGTCGAAACTAATACAAGCTAAACTTAAAAAAAAAGAATAGAAAGTGCAGGAAAAAAAGAAAAAGAAGGAAAAGAAAGAATATAATAAAGAAAAAGAAAAGAAATATATAAAGAAGTGACTCCCAACCTTCATCACAACAAATATAAAGAAATTTAGTAACTGTTCCCCCACTATAAGATTACAAACAATGTAAAAAAGTACAGTAATTTTGGTGGGAATGAATGGGAAGATGGGCTGCAGAACACTTAAAGATGGGGAAGTGGAAGCCCAACATTTACTTTTAAACATGTGCCAAATGATGGATAAATTTAATGGGCATTTGGGAGAGGCAGCATAAGGATTTCTAAATGGGTTGTGATGCCCAAACATTTGGGAATTCCTGATTTAACATGATAAAGCAATAGGCTTAGAAAAAACTGGCTTGCCCTTCTACTCAAACACTCTGATTTGGCAAAAGAATATTAGGTAATGAGTTTATCTGGCTAAGATCTCAAATAAAATCTTTGCTGCTTACACTAACTGCAGAGAGTAATATGGGCACATTTTATGCTTCAAACTATGATCCTTTGAGTCTGAGCTATTGTTTTTGCTCTCCATATAGAATTTTGTTGAACAGCAAGATAACCATCTCAGACAACTTCTCAAAATTGTTCAACTGCAACATGCTCAGCTCATAAAACAGCAAGAGCAAATACTGGACCTGGAAGAAAAGGTAAAGTTTCTGAATTTTAATAGCCTTCTCTAATCTAGGGACAGTTTAAATGGGTTCAGGCAACTTAAAAGAAGGAAAGAAAATTGTGGGTGGGAGTAAACAAGGAAGCACCAAGGAGGACAAATCACTGAAGGGTAGGTGGGGTAGAAATGGAGAAACCAGCATGAAAAGATAGGCCAGAAAAATCAATGTAAGAACATCTAGAATGAGTTCATATGCTTCTTTAATCCAGGCCTTGCTTAAACATAGTTTACTGATTAAACCTTAATTGGCTGAGTTTACAGAACATTCTAAAATATCAACTTTTATCTACCCAGGTTCAAAGAAGACATTAAACCATGGCAAAATCAAATAAAGCTTGTTCCATGGCTTAATCTCTAGGAACTATAGTTCCATTATATTCCATCTATAATATATGTAAAATGAATCTTCACTGGCTGGCACCATACATCATATTAAGTCATATCATAGTTTTAGATTTGGCTTAGTATTTTGTGCGAACCCAACCAACTGTAGAATTCAAGAAGCCATAATTCACAAAATATGTCTTAATACAATATGCAAGCAACATAGTCAGCCTAAATGTGGCTTGTTGACTTAGTTTAGCTGTACAAATATAGCTTATTCAATAAACTATTGTTAAATAACCATGCATAGTCTGATATGTAAACTCACTCACTATGGGTTCTCACTCCAGCTTCCAGAAAGTTTTTATACAGTAAATTCTGAAATATCTCATGATTTCAGCTGTATTCCTACATATGGAAGGTCAAGCTTGCCAACAGCCAAGGCCAAGGAATAATTATTTAGGGAGCCAAGGTTGGAGAACTCTAACCAAACTTGGGTTTGCTATATTTAATGTGAGAATGTACACTCTGCAGCAGATTCTTATGCATGTTTAGGTCCTATTTTGTTCAGATAAGCTTCACTAGAAGGTAAGTTTAGGATTGCAGACTTTATTTCCTGTGTAACACAACAGTACTCAATGACTGGGTTCATATATCATGCTAGGCCATAATTTGGTTTGTTTGATCAACAAATTGTGTGAATACAGCACTGTCTTGGTAAACTATGGTTTATATGGCTTAGCGTGTTATATGAATCCCATCCATTGTAGCTTTTTCAAAAAGCCTAGTATTTTCTAGGTGAAAGAATTTGTTGCTCATTGTGTTGATTGAAGGAAGCAATCTTAGTCTACCAGATTTGGGCAGCAAATATCTGGACAACTACTAGATGGGAGCAGAGTTAGTTTTCTCCAGATTTTTGTAGCCCTAAAAAGCTGTGCTTATCTCCCTCACCTGACATGGTGGATACTCCTGTCCCTAGTCGAAGATAATTTCTCCATGATGCTTTTTCTTTCTGGGAACTTTTCT